TAAATAGGAAAATGAAAAGACCTTAAAATGCAAAAATAAACCCAGACAACATGCGTTGACCTTAAAGTGTCACTACAAACAAATCTACATTTAGTGGCACAAGATTTTAGTGGCATATCCCTTTCTATGCCACCGTATGATTGCTTTAGTGTCACATTTATTATGCCATTGTATCATTGTGAAAATTCCAACTTTCATGTCCGCTCTTATTTCCTACAAATTAAAAGCGTACCACACCCCCAAAGTTTTATATTTCTTTGTTCGTCCCTCAAAATCCCCAAATCCCTTACTACATCCTTTACAAAATAAATGAAGTTCCTCCCATCGATGTCGTTCATGTTTTCTACCCCTGATGTATCGCCGTCTCTCACGTCGGCCACCCCTCCGCTGCCGATCTTCACCACTTTCACAAACGATTATGATAAGGTCGGAGAGCTTCCAGCAACTAAAATCCGTTCTGTTTAGGAAACAAATCGTCTTCAAACGAAATTTTATGCCTTCCCGCCATTGCCAACAATAGTCCGAACCCTAATGTTTACACTACTTCGAGTTCCAATTTTCGATTAGGTATATTATTTTTAAGATATCTTCAGTTTTTGGTTTTTGTTATTTGAATTTGGTTTATTTGATTGTTTAATGTTTATAAAATTCTTCTCTCGTTCTCCTCATATCTCTCATTTCATGTGGTCACGACTTCACGATCCTGCTATTTATTAATCACATGTTCATCTCACTCCACTGAATCGTGTGTTCCTCTTTTATTCCTCTTTCAGTGTAAAATTGATTTTTCAAAAGGTGTGTATAACGATAAAATTTGGATGAGGTGCATATATTTCTGTGACATTACATTGAGAAAACAATCACAGTACCTCAATTTCATGTACAAAGTCTTCATATTTTAGAAAACCATCAAACAATCCCAATTTCTGATTCTTAGCTCTCCCGCCTTAATCTTTAACTTTTATAATTTCTTTTATTCTGTGACTGATTCTTTGCCCTAAGCCCTGTTTTTGTTACCATGTAAAGTTTTAATTCTGATTTATGTGCTTTATATAATGTTAATATGTAGGTAAATTGAAAGAGAACTTAATCTTATGTGGAAAATAAATAAGAGAACATAGATCAATTGATGGTTGTGAGGCTGATATTGTCATAGTTGTGATTTTAACATGGTTCTCATTTCAGAAACAATCTGAAAAGCCTATCTTCTTTGAAAAAGCAAAGGATTGCTATTTGTTAATGTACTTAACTGAGAGTGTCCAACAATTAAGAAGAGAAATTTGTTGTATACTTGACCTCAATATATGAAGCTTGATTATACGAAAAGGAGTGGGATTGCATGGAAAGATATTTTGAGCTCATGTCACCATCATGTCACTTCAAAAGAGAGGGTTATGTAACCCTATTAGATATTGATCAACCAATTTATCCAAATGAAACCCAATACTGTGTCTCATCAGGTTATAGGTTCTATTCAAAATTTCCATTATGTCTTTTGCTCTTTTCTTTATTATCAAGTAAAAATAATTCCAGTAACATGATTTTTCCTTTTTCTTCAGGTGTCCTTGGGTGATATGATGGTTTGTGAAAATAACAATGTAAGTTGCCATTATTTTTTATTCTTAATATGATCAAACTTTCTTGATTGATTCATCATTACTTATGTATTGGTCTTTTTTTTATGCATGAGGTATATAATATAATTAAAACACTCACCCTTAGTTGTTTCTTTTTCTTTTTGTCTCATTAGTGTTGGTTGCAATACAATTTTTATTTTATTTAGCTTGTTTTTTAACTAGAGCTTTCATCTTCATTGCTTCCTAAACAAGAGTTTTCCCTTGTATAATTGTCCAGGTTGTGTAGACCAGTTAACAACCAGAGTTTCTTTTAACAATCAGGTAAGTTTCATTTATACAATTCTCTCTATTGTCAGTTTCTTTGTCTGTGACTCAACTGATGGAGCTTCAACTTTAAAATGTACCTCTTTTCATGTTTATATTTAATATTCACGGTCAATTTAATTATATACTAAAAAGGAGGAAAATCAAGGCTATCCCAAAGCTATACTTTTTTGAAGATATTGAAAACAGGGAATAAAAAGATGGGGAGAATACTAAGTGCAGTTTATCTATTTTAAGTTCATTTAATAAGATACTTTTCTTTTTTATATTTCCTAACTTAAAGTAATTCTCTAATGTAAATTAGGTCAATAAAATGTATGAAAAATGGGTATGATTTTGTTATTTTTGGACAGGCTACAACAAAGAGATCATGGAAATAGATTGTACAGTTTATCTGTAGCTTTTGGACTCCTTCAGTTTGAAAAGGATCTCCCCCATTGTCCCTTATGCTTATGAGCAAGTTTAATTTAATAATTTTGTACATATATATTACAGGGTGAGAAGATGAGGCGAAATGAGGGGATGAAATGGATCTTCCAAGCTCTATTAATCAAGATCTATGTTTTGAGTTTTACTAGCACAAATTTTAGAGTTATTATACCCCTTGGAAGATATTCTTGTGTTAAATATTCAGTATATTGTTCCAAGACAAGTTAAGGTTTAATTTAAGTAATGCTTTTGTATTTGTCCTATATTATCTTAATTGTTTTTTTATTTATATTCGGTTTTAAATTCATAAAAAATCCCTAATTTTCAAATATAAATGTTGTGGTAAAAATTTGTCACTAAAAACATAAAAATTGATTTCAATTTACCAAATATATAATGACATAAAAAAAGGCCACACAAACCAAAAAGTGCTATAGTGGCATAAAAAAAGTGCCACTAAAACCGTAAAGGGCTGCAGCGACACAACCAAAAAGTGTCACTAAAAGCTTTTAGTGGGAGCGTTTCTAGTGGCATTTTTCTTTTGTGTCGCAGATTGACAAGGGGGCCTTTAGTGGTATTTTTTTGGTTTTCAGTGGCACTTTTTGTGTGCCACTAAACGTCATTTTATTTGTAGTGTGCAAAAATAAGCCCAGACAGCATGCGTTGACCTTAAAGTGCAAAAATAAGCCCAGACAGCAGAAGGCCAATGAAGTTAGGCAAGAAACAGATGAAGTTCCATACATGCAACAAAAGCCCTCTTGGAGGTTCCATTTGAGCTTTCTGTATTTTTTTTCTTCCTTCCTCTTCACAAACTTCGGATCTCAGAAAACCCAACAGAAACTGGCCGGAATCTTGAAGATTATTTGTGTTCTAATGTGAATTCGATTATAAGTTTAGATGCATAAGTTTGTTCTCTTTTATTGGTAAATTTTTGAACTTTAACCCAGAATCGCCAGCGACAGGACATGTCTTGTAGTTGTCGGGTGCTAAATATGTTTATTTTACTTGGGGATGGAATGAAACAGAAATAAATCGATTTCTCCTTCTTCGATCTACCACTATATCTCTTTTTCTTTGGTTTGTTGTTAACAATGATGGACTCATCAACAACAACCAGATCTTTATCCTCTTGAATCTCTTCCATTCACCACATGTGTCTTCTATTGTTTCTGGGTCAACCGATATTAGAAAATCGGCTGTTGCAGCGATGACGAGACCCATATAGGTCGGTGACATCCCCATAGACATCAAGTCTGGTTTTTGATCTCTTGGCAGGGAAAGGCGAAAGTTTAGAAGGAAGAGTGTTCTTCTTCTCGTCCTTTTTGAAGTGTTGACTTGAATGATGTGGCAAATAGTATATATGTGGCATGGAAACCGGTTAAAACAGGTCTAGGGGACTAAATAGACAGGTTGCCAGAAATTTGTTCCCTCATAAAGCGATAAAATAAATTAATTGGCTAACTGGGTAAACCCTAGAAGCATATATGTCATTTTCCCTTTATTTATTTATTTATTTATTTTTTTGAGAAATTCACAGAGGATAAATTCTTGCCCATATATTATTGAATCATTGCAGGTGGTAAATTCACCATTCTTATTCGTTTAGTTTGGCCAACTCTTTTAAGTTATCCTGGTATTGTAATTTCTGTTGAAATCTCAAAATATATTTCATGGAAGGATGCGAGCTGTCTAAAAAGAAGCAGCACCTTTTTCACCATTTAGCAAAACTCCCCTACTTTCAGGGGTCTTCTTTAACTTCTTCACACCATAATACTCTAAAGCTACTTTTTCAAAAACAAGATTTCATTTTGGATTACCGATTCTGTTATTTAGTTTTGTCATATTGGAGCTGTTGTTATGTTCATATATATGCTCTTATTACTTGTTTTTTCCGATTCAGTCTCGCTGTGTCTTTACTCGTTTTTTCTTATCATGTTGAAATGGGTTAGAGACCAAAACCAAAATAAAGTAAAACCATAAGTGTTACCTCATGGCAACTTGGACTAAATTTGTAATTTTTTAATTCACGTGGACCATGTATGTAATTTTGTCTTATATAATGACGAAGGCATGAAGCAGGCAGATTATTGGTTGCATGGAAATACACTCTTAAAAAAAAGAAAGCCATTTTCCATGTATATAAATGTCAGTAATCTGGTTATCTTTCAATTCAAATCAAACAAATCCCTTTCCGAGTCCAATTTTAAGGTACAACGACCCAGTTTCAGATAAATGGCTTCCATTAGCTTGACTTCGTCTTCCTCACCACTACTATGTTCCAAGTAAAGCTTCTTCTAAGTATCTTGTTGATTATTTTCTTCAGTTTGTTTTGATAGATGCGCTTTTCTATTCAGAAAAATAGGGCCATTGTCTCTTTTGTTCATAATGATCTCCTTTTTCATAATGCTTTTGGGCTTCACGATTTGGATTTTTTGCCATTACTTATTTACTTTGTGATTTCTTTGAGCTCCCAATCTAAGGGATGTTTTCGTGTTTATTTTTTAGCTGGCTACTAAGCAAATTTGTGATTCCATGGATGAAATCCAACATATTGATTTTTTTTTTGTTCATGTTTTAAAATTAGAATTAGAGCTTCCTTAATTGGCTATAGATTTTTGTAGGAAGTATAGTAATTGATTATAACTTTTTTTTTTTTTTTTTTAATGTAGCATGAGCACAAACTTCAGCTCAAACAATGGTCTTCACTCTCGAAACCTCATGCATGTTTCAGAGGCGTTTCTTGGTACAAAGTTGTGCTCCATAAGTAAATCTGGTGGTAGGTCCAAAGCTTCATTCTTGCCTGTAGATTTGTGGAAAACTGCTGTAAGTGTGTCATCTGGGATTGAAATACTAACAGCAGATTCCATTGCCACCATGAATTCTTTCCCTCTTGGTGCTGATGAATATGACTTGGATCTCCCCACACCTGGCTTCTCATCCATTTCAGATGCCATTGAAGATATTCGCCAAGGAAAGGTTGTCTTAAACTTCCCTTTTCTTTTCCCTCGTGATTTTACTATGTGATAAAACTAAACGAGTAGTTCGGCATTTGCTTATTCTTTCTACAACAGGGTTATTTTTATAATCTCTAAGCTAGCCTAAACTGCCATTCCTCAAAAAACCATAATGTGATATGTAAATCAGGTACACAGTGACCCACTAAATGACATAAGAATTCGTTGTCTATAAAGAGCCACATCCACATGCATTGAACTGAAACTCTCACACCCTCGCCTTTTTTGAAAATGGAAGAAATAACAACATACTTTAATTGTTTTGTTTATTATCACATCTTACGTTAATTTCTATCTATTATAACATTGCACCTTCATTTCTTTTTCTTATTAGTAAAGTATACCTTTAAAAATCCGATGTAGCATTCTACTTCCAATTTTTTCTCATTAGGACATTCGTACATTGTTAAATATACTCGGTTATATCGCAGTGAAACTTGCTTTGTATTCAATGATATTGCTATAACTGAGTATATTTTCTAAATTACAATGTAAGAAATGAAAGTACGAGATGTAATAAAAAGGTTTTTTGAAAGTATGTTGTTATTTGTTGCATTTAACCCTTTGGTTTATACCACAGATGGTGATGGTTGTAGACGATGAGGACAGAGAAAATGAGGGGGATCTAGTAATGGCAGCATCAGCGGTTACACCCGAGGCTATGGCTTTCTTTGTTAAGCATGGAACTGGGATTGTTTGTGTAACCATGAAAGGAGAAGATCTTCAAAGATTACAACTTCCTCTAATGGTAAAACATAATGAGGACAAGAATCGCACAGCATTCACAGTTTCAGTGGTACGTAATCTTATTAAATGATTCATCTTGCAAAAGAATCTACCTAATTATAGCAACACACTTGAAAAATATACCTAATTATAAAATTTTTCAAAGTATCATACCTTAATAAGGAAAAGCCATAGAAAAAAGGGAAAGTGGTATGCTCTAATACACACATAAATGGAAGTATTTAGATATTTCTTGCATTTATCCTTATCTGAAAAAGGAAAATATTTGTTGGTTGTGTTGTTTTGATAGTTTTCTAATAAAAAATTATAGGATGCAAAACATGGAACAACCACAGGGGTGTCGGCTCATGATAGGGCAACAACAGTAAAAGCTCTAGCTTCAAAAGAGTCAAAGCCCGAGGACTTTAATCGCCCAGGTCATATATTTCCATTAAGATACAGAGAAGGAGGTGTTTTGAAAAGAGCTGGTCACACCGAAGCTTCGGTTGACCTAGCCATGCTAGCTGGGTTCGACCCTGTGGCAGTCATATGTGAGGTGGTGGATGATGATGGTTCGATGGCTAGATTACCAAAACTTAGGAAATTTGTCGAAAAGGAGAACATGAAAATCATTTCTATTGCTGACCTTATTAGGTGGGTGATGTCGTTTTGACCAATATGGGAATGTATGAGTGTGGTTCTCTTGACATTTGATTTAAATTGGCAGGTATAGGAGGAAAACCGATCATTTAGTAGAACAAGTTTCTGCTGCACGGATACCTACTACATGGGGGTCGTTTGTTGCTTACTGTTATAAGTCGATCTTAAATGGGATGGAACATGTCGCTATGGTCAAGGTGAGCAAAATTCATGTCTTTTACACACACGATTAATCAAAACAATATATAAAGTTGGGAATAAAATGATGAGAAGTTGTGTGTCTGTTGAAACAGGGTGAAATCGGGGATGGGAATGATATACTTGTGAGGGTACACTCGGAATGCTTAACAGGAGATATATACGGATCTGCTAGATGTGATTGTGGGAACCAACTCGCACTTTCAATGCAACAAATCGAAGAGGCTGGGAGGGGTGTAGTGGTATACCTCAGAGGTCATGAGGGTCGAGGCATCGGTTTAGGCCACAAACTTCGTGCTTATAACCTTCAAGATGATGGGCGTGACACTGTGGAAGCCAATGAGGACCTCGGCTTGCCTGTTGACTCAAGGGAATATGACGTTGCTGCACAGGTAGGCTCACCATGTTGGAAATAGCCACATAAAAAGCTTGCCTAGTCTCATTCACTAGTGTAGTATGTATTGTACTATACAGTACTATACTACTATATTGTACAATACTTGTTTGTACTACCATACAATATTATATTGTACTAGTGTACAATACTATATTGTATGATATTATATACTACTGTGTCATATGCACTTTTGTCTGGCCATTTCCCATGTAACAAATGCAGCCCGTTAGACTGTAATCTTGATTTGTGTTGAATCATATGCAGATTTTAAAAGACCTTGGTGTTAGAAAGATGAAGCTAATGACGAACAATCCGGCTAAATGCATTGGGCTCAAAGGCTATGGTTTGGAAGTCACAAGCAGAGTTCCCCTTTTGACTTTGGTCACAGAGCACAACAAGAGATATCTTGAGACCAAGCGAACCAAGATGGGTCATATTTACGGGTCAGGGAATAATGGGGTTAACCTCATCAATCAAAACGATAAAATGCACTCTGTATACCCTACTAATTAACAACTTTGAGGTGTATAAGTATGAAGTGGATTCACATCCTTCACTCATAGAGATAAGAGAAGTCATGATTGAAAAAATTCCATCAAAGAAAATGTCCGTTTGTCATCTACTATGTAAGGTTTACTGGAAAATAACATAGATTTTATTAAATTTCGGTGGATTTCAACGTCCGCAGAACTTCGTCTTTCAACAATCTGATGCACGGAATATAAGTACTAACATACGTTATAGCGATATAAATAAAAACAGATCTTGAGACAAAAAAATGGCAAAGATTTTATTAAATTACATTGGTATAATTTAATGAAATAACACAGTCTCAATGATATATGCATATTTATATCGACATTGCATCTAAAAGGTATGATAAAAAATCAGGCTAAACAACTAAAAATAATTATATAAAGGAAAAACATAATAATAGACTAGTGCTAACTAAGATGGTCACGATTATAGAAATTTGTATTTATACAAAGTATTATATGTTATGAAAAACATAATTTATAATAATATACATGGCCGGTCTTGAGAATATCTTCAAAGGCCCACGACGAATAAGAAAAAAAGGATTCTTTCGTTATTATAAGTTTTATTAGACGGTCTTAATGATACATTCAAATTTATACCGAATATTATGTAATAAAAGTCGCAACTGAAAATGGGAATAAGCACATTAAATTAATTTTAATGAAAAATTATATTATGAAAAAATTAATATAAAATAATCAAAATGAAAACAAATAATATTATTTTTTCCATTAATCAGTTTGTAATTGTTATTGACTAGGATTGTATTCTCGCGCGTGGAAATCTTGAAAGAACTCCAATGTAATTGTGTGAAAAAGTAAAGAAACAGATATTTCCAACATCAATGATATTTATATCATTAGATGACAAAGAATCACAATGATATTTATATCATTAGATGACAAAGAATCAAAAGGTTTTCAACGTACTTGCAACAACAACACTGAATCCTAATCTATATCTATAAACAAGAACAATGAAGTAACTCAACAATGGAGGAACCCTAGAGAAATGAGTGAACCAGAGAGAACATTGTGTGAGATATTTTGACTGAATAAATAAAATGAGCCACCAACAAGCATTAAGTACTCCGGGTAAACGGATCCATGCAACCCGTGCGTTAACCCGAACAATAATCAACAGACGTGAGATGTAACCCCACAAATTTTCTGTAGTTGACATAAATAACCCAAGAACAAAATAATGAACAAAATAAGTAATAGATATTTTACCTTTAAACCTTTGCAAAACCAAGAATGTTAAGTTGGTAACATTTATTTTATATTTTTAATACCCCTCCTCAAACTTAACATTCATACAAAAAATCAATCTTTATTAAAATGATTAACCAAACCAATTTCATTTAATAAAAAATTATGTTGAGAAGTTTTTAAAAACTTAGGTCCCGTTTGATAGTTTCTGTCTGGTAAAGTGCTGTCTGGGAAAGTTTTCTGACTGGGAAAGAAACCATGCTGTTTGATTGTACATCTGATTGACTGTGCTGAATGATGAAAAAAAGTAATAATTCAATAAAAAATAAATTTAAAAAAAGTTATTTAAAAAAATTAATAATCCACTAAAGAAAGAAAGATGCGGGGTTTGGTGTATAATTGTCTTTCCAGCCCATTCAGCCAGAAAGATATGATTTTGGGGCTTTCTGGGAAAGACATATCTTACCGGGAAAGACCCCTTCTTTTGTGCAAATCAAACAGTCTTTCCAGTCCATTCAGCCAGAAAGATCTGTTTGGACCTGGAAAGATGCGTATCAAACGGGGCCTTAGTTAAAATATCAGCCCTTTGTTTTGAAAAACCAATTTTTTCAATTTTCAAAACTCCATTAGCAATTTTTTCTCTCACAAAATGCAAATCAATTTCAAAGTGTTTCATTGTTTTCATGAAACACATGATTGAATACAAGTTTTATAGCATATTCATTGTTACAAATAGGGATGATAATTTGGCCCGAAAACCCGAACCGAACCAAATTAGGCCCGAATAATCAATTTGATTCAAGTTTCGGGTATCTATATTATGCTTATTCGGTTCTCGGGTTATTCGGTTCGGGTTACCCAAATAAGAACTTATTCGGTTCTAAATACCCGACCCAAATAAGCATTCCTTCTCCCTTTCTCTGATCGATAGAAATCAAAATCACGATTCACACTTTTGTCCTCGTCGTTCATAATAGAAAAAAAACCCTATGCTCGTTCTCGTTGTTTCAAAATCAACCAATCTTCTTGTATATTTCCAAACTCGAAATCACTTTTCTCAATCATTCCTCTTGTTTCAAACTTTCAAAAATCGACTCTCTCTATTGTCTTTAAGGATTCACGAATTCCTACTTTGTCTAGTCATGGAAAATTGGGCTCCAACTCAACAAACTCAAGTAAGAAATTAATTTTCATTATGTTAATCTACCATGTAAATGTTATTCTTTCATTGTGTTATTGTGTTATGTTCGTCTTTGAATGTTTTACGTTGATGTATAAAACTACATTGTTATTCTATTATTCAGGTTATAGAATCCTAGGACGGTTTATTCCGTTTTTTCAGTTATATTTGGTCTTTAATTATCTTGTACATATTATTCGGGTTATTCGGTTAATACCCGAACCAAACCGATTAATACCCGAACCGAACCGAACCCGTATTGGTTAATCGGTTCGGTTTTCGGTTAATGCAATTACCCTTATTCGGTTTTTGGGTTATTCGGGTTCGGTTCGGGTCGGTTCGGTCCGGTTCCAGCCGGAATAACATCCCTAGTCACAAAAAACTTTTACAGGAGTTAGACCTTTAATACCCAAATCAAACAAAAGTTTTAGAATCTGAATAATTTCACAGGTTACAGATTCTAATGCTCTGTATTCGAATTCAGTGGAAGATCTAGAAACAGTTGCCTGTTTCTTACTCTTCCAAGATACTAATGAACTTCCAACATAAACAAAGTAACCAATAATAGATGTCCTAGAGGAAAGACATTTTGCCCATTTAGCATCCACAAAACCCATTAAGTCAAAATTATCTGACTTTATCATAGAAATACCCCTACCAGGACAACCTTTAAGGTACATTAGTAATCTAAAAGCTATATTCAGATGAGACTTATGGGGTTTGTGCATAAACTAACCGAGAATTTGAACAAAATATGAAATATCAGGTCTAGTAGTTATATGGTATATTAACTTTCCAACTAACTTTTGAAATTCAGTGACATTTTCAAGTAAAGGATCACTACTATCATAATCACTTTTTGGAACAAAATTTGCTTCTAAAGAAGTGAAAACAAGTTTACAGCTTAGCATTCTACACTCATGAAGAAGTTCAAGACAGTACTTCCTCCGACTCAAACAAATTCCTTTATCCAAATTAAGAACCTCAATTCCAAGAAAATAACTCATCAGAAACTTTGAATTTAAAAAATATTTTACATTTTGAAGTTCAACTTCATTGTCACTTGTTAGAATTATATCATCCACATAAACTAGAACAACAACAATTGAGTTATCATTTTTCTTAACAAACAAAGAATAATCATTTATACTTTGAAAAAATCCATAACTAAAAAGCACAAAACATAACTTTTCATTACATTTTCTGGGGGCTTGTTTTAGCCCATCTAATGACTTTACCAATTTACAAACTCTAGTATCTCCCTTTGTATGATATCCTTGATGAAGACTCATAAAAACATCATCAGTCAAATATCCATAGAGAAAAGCATTATTGATGTCAAGGTGATATAAAGGCCAATATTTATTAACATATAAAGAAATAACAACACAAACAGTAACAATTTTTGCTATTGGAGAGAAGGTTTCTTGGTAATCTATTCTTTATCTATGATTATAAACTTTAACTACAAGACGAGCCTTATATCGTTCAACTTCTCCATTGGGTTTATATTTAATTATGTACACCCATTTACAACCTATTGGGTCATCGTGGATCGATTGACCAAAAGCACGCATTTCATTCCGATCCTGGAGAGTATTTCGGCGGAGAAGCTGGCCGATATCTACATTCGGTAGGTGGTGACACGGCATGGGGTGTCGGTTTCTGTGGTCTCTGATAGGGATGTTCGGTTTACTTCCACGTTCTAAAAGAGGTCCCATGAGGAGTTGGGTACTCTTCTGCACTTCAACACGACTTTCCACCTGCATATTGATGGTCAGAGTGAGCGGACTATCCAAACATTGGAGGACATGCTGCGGGCATATCTACTGGATTTTGGCGGTAGTTGGGATATGTATCTTCTTTTGGCGGAATTTTCGTATAACAACAGTTACCACGCCAACATTGATCGACCTCCTTTTGAGATGATCTATGGTAGAAAGTGTAGGACCTCAATATGTTGAGGTGAGGTCATTCAACGGGTATGGGGAGTACCGAGGTGGTACTCAAGACGACATAATTGATTCAGCAGGTTCGCGACAGACTTCAGACGGTAGAAATCCGACATAAGAGTTACGCAGACAGACGCCGATCAGACTTGGAGTTTCAGATTGGATACATGTTACTCCTGAAGGCGTTACCTTGGAAAGGTGTCATTCCATTCAGGAAGCGGGGCAAGTTGGGCCCCATTTATATTGGTCCTTTCAGGGTTTAGCCCGGGTGGGCAGGGTTGCATATCGTTTGGATCTGCCCGAGGAGCTCTGTCAAATTCATAGAACTTTTCATGTCTCTCAACTGCGGAAGTGTTTGATTGACGATTCTGAAGTGGTTCCATTGGAGGACATTCAGGTGGATGATCGCCTGAATTATATAGAGAGAATAGTGGCGATCCTTGACATGAGGACGAAGACTCTTCGAAAAAAAGTGGTGGATCTAGTGAAGGTGCAGTGGCAGCACCGAAAGAGTTCTGAATGGAAGTGGGAGCCTGAGGACGAGATGAAGGAGCATTACCCGAAGTTATTTACGACATCAGACTTCGAGGACGAAGTATAATTCAAGTGGGGAAGAATTGTAACACCTGG